GCTCCGCGGCGAGAACATCCAGCTCCAGCTCACGCCGGCGCAGCGCGAGGCCAGCGGAAAGGACTGGACGACAAGCAAGTGTATGCCGGCCATCAAGAACCAAGGCAACTGCGGATCATGCTGGTCGTTTGCAGCCGTCGGTGCGGCCGAGATGACGCACTGCCTCGTCATGGGTCAGCTCATCGATCTCTCGGAGCAGCAGCTCGTGAGCTGCGCGTCGAGCGCGGGTAAGGGCTGCCAAGGCGGCTGGCCCAACAAGGCGCTGCAGTACATTGCGCAGACCGGCGTGTGCTCGGCGTCCGAGTACCCGTACACGGCGAGCGACAGCCAATGCAAACAGAGCTGCAAGAGGAACAAGCTCAGCGTCGGTGCGCCCGGCGACATTCAAGGCGAGAGCGCGCTGCAGTCGGCGCTCGACAAGCAACCGGTGACGGTCGTCGTCGAGGCCAGCAACGACGTGTGGCGCAACTACAAGAGCGGCATTGTCAAGTCGTGTCCTGGCGCGCAGTCGGACCACGCGGTGATTGCTGTGGGCTATGGCAGCGACTTTTTAAGATCCGCAACTCGTGGGGCACCAGCTGGGGCGAGCAAGGCTACATGCGCCTCAAGAAGGGCGCCGGCGGCAAGGGCATGTGCAACGTGGCCGAGGCGCCGTCGTACCCGTCGCTGAGCGGCAAGCCGCAGCCGGACGACCCGAGCGACAACCCGAGCGACGAGCCGAGCGATGAGCCGAGTGACGACCCGTGGAACAACGACGATGACAACGGCTGGCGGGTCTAAGCCGCTTCATGCTTGCTCGCGACGACTGTGGCCGTGTCTACCTTGGGTGTAATTGCATTTTCAAAAATGTCGGTGTCGAAAGGAGCTCAGCTTTTGTTTTCCTACTTTCCGAGCGCATGCAGTTGTCGATGATGCAGCTCGGATGGCTCGTCCAGACGCGCGGGCTAGGTGTGTAGCCCAGCTTGGAACCCATGTACGAGGGTAAAAGAGGTGTGGCCCATTATGCTGCTGCTCTGTCTATGACGTACGACGTCACTAAATGTCGTTGCGTCTCGACTCGGAACCGACCAGGCTTGCTACAACCCTGCTGCGCGACGATCGCTGTGCAAGGATTTTCGAAGGCTTCGATATTTCCTCATATTAGGGCAAATGTCCGAATCGAACCTTTTGAAACGAGGACATGTCCGGCTCGAGTCGTTCTATTGTATTGCATATAAACACCAAGCCACATTTGGGCGATGTAAAACCACCAGTTGCGCAATTTCCTGGCCAAGCACACGCAAGCCTCAGCAGCATGGCCGCCCATGGGTCCGACGCCGCCGCCGCCGACACGTACGAGTACGAGGAGCAGCAGGAGCGCGAAACGATGATGCGCATCTCGTTCCTGCCCATGAAGCGCTGGTATCTCTCTTCGCCGGACGTGGCCGCCAAGTTTGGCTCGTTCCCCGTCTTTTGGCAAGACCTCAAGAGCTGGGCACCGTACCGCGACGTGAACCGCCTCTACTTGCGCGCTACGGACGGCTCCTCGAAAGGTGATGATGCTGCTCCCGCGGCGCCGGCGGTTGCTAATGAAGCTGATGGAAAGGTCAAGACGCGTAAGAGCCGATGGGGCGACGCCGACCCCACGCCTGCAGAGACGCCTGCAGAGACGCCGGCGCCCAAGCGGCGCAGCCGCTGGGACCCGATTGAGGGCGAAAACGAAGCGCCCAAGAAGAAGAGCCGGTGGGCGCCCGCGGGCGCGGCCGGCGCCGACCCGTCGACGTACCTCACCACCGAGGAGCAGCAGTCGATCGTGCTGCGCGCCAAGCTCGACGACCTCGCGCGCAAGATGGCCACCGTCGCGTACGACGCGGCGATCATCGAGAAGGACCCGAGTCGGTCGCCGTCGCCGCCGCCGCAGTACGACTCGAACGGGAAGCGCCTCAACACGCGCGAGATGCGAATGCGCGCCATGTACGAGCGCGACCGCATGCGCGTGATGGACCAGCTCGTGAAAGTTAACCCGCTCTTCAAGCCGCCGCCCGAGTACCTCAAGATGAAGCTCCAGCGCAAGCTCCCGATCCCGTACAAGGAGTACCCGACGTACAACTTTATGGGGCTCATCATTGGCCCGCGCGGCCACACGCAGAAGCGCATGGAGAAAGAGTACAACTGCCGCATCGCGATCCGCGGCCGGGGTAGCGGCAAGGAAGGCCGGAAGAGCTACCACAACGACGAGAACGAAGACCTCCATGTGTTCATCACGGGCGACAAGGAAGAGGACGTCGAGCGCGCGGCCGTCGCGATCGCGGCGCTGCTCGTGCCCGTCGACGACATGACCAACGACCACAAGCAGCGCCAGCTCCGCGAGCTCGCTCGGATCCAAGGCACGCTCCGCGACGACGACTACTGCTTGGCGTGCGGCGAGCAAGGCCACCGGCAGTTTGAGTGCCCGAACCGAGACAAGTCCTTCAAGGCCGTCAACGTCAAGTGCTCGATCTGCGGCGACACGTCGCATCCGACGAGCGATTGTACGATGAAGGAGACGGACAAGGCCGTGTACGACGCTGAGTTTTCCAACTTTATGGAGCAGCTCGGCGAGAACGGCAACATCATCTCGCACAACACGATCAAGATCGTGCCCGACAAGTCGGCGCCGATTCCCGCGGCGATGCAGGCGGCAGCCAACGCCAATGCGCCCGTGGGCAGCTCGGCCGAGAACGCGTACCCGGTGCCGTCGGCGGCGCCAGCCTACCCCGCGTCGTACGGCGCAGCCTACACGTGGGACGCGCAGCAGCAGTGGCAGCAGTACTATGCGAGCTACTACGCGGCCGGCTGGTCGTACCACAACGGCGTCTGGTACGACAGTACGGGCGCGGCCCAGACAGCGTACGATGGCAATGCAGCGGCTGCCTACAGCTACAAGACGCCGACGCTGAGCGCCAAGACGGACGCGGCCAAGAAGGAGTAGGCGTCTCTCATCCAAATAGGACTGGCATCGAACGTGTTGTTGATTCGTTGCAATGGAGGAGATCGGACGGCGAAAGCCGCTGCAGGTGGATGCGGCCTTGAGCGAAGGGTCGGCCAACCATGCAGGAGGAGCAGTGGTGGGCGTGCGTCCTCAAGCAACGGACACGCCATGTACCATGTATTACTAGTACTACATATTAGGAAGAGGGCATGCATCGTCTTGGCGCGCAATCCTCGGCACGGCGTTTCTATTGGTTGTCGCGGTCGAAACAACGACGGGGTAGATTGATAGATTGATATTTTTCGCGGAAAGAGCGGTCTCGTCGTTCGACCATGATACTACTACATGTGTCGACAGCGTTTTCATCACAGGGACGTACCTCTTGGTGCTGTAGAGCGGGGCAGTAGGCCTTCTCGTCGTAGAACCCTTGCTCGCCCCATCGTTCACGAGATTTTGATCGTCACGGTACGTTCTTGCAAGGGTATATTTCGTCCCTTGGTTCTTGCCGCCTGGACAACACTGCACATCGCCGCTCTGGTAGTTCTTCTAGACACTGTGCTGGACTGGCCTCGACAGTCACAATCACAGGCTGCATCAGCAATGTCCAGCACTAACTACAGTGGTTGTTCGCACCGTGGACAGCGCATTTCTAGGCTACCAGACCCTCGGCTTCTGACACGCTGCAAACGCATGGAACACTGTTTCAAGCTCGCATCTGTAGCATCGTCCAAGGTCTATCGATACTCGCCTTTATGCCGCCTCTTAGCGTTGATTTCCAGCGCAAGAGCGTGCACTTCTGGAACGCCACGTGACTTGCTGGAAGCGTGTACTTTTGACCGTACAAATGCTGCGGCAATGTGAGAAAGGGTGCACTGGTCCAGCTCTTTTCTACTCAAATAGTGTTATGTTCAATTGGAGGTCTTTTGCCTCGGGCGAGAACATCGTAGCAGATGACACGCCTCGACTGCCGCTTGTGAAGCACGCTTGCATTCAACGTTTCAAGGGTTTCAACTCCGTCTTCGATACGCTACAATATCTGTCCAGAGCGTGGAAGTGACCACGTATTACACTATTTCAGATAGAAAGGCAGCGTTGGCAATGGTATCCTATGATTGCCACATGTGATCATGGAAAGCTGGCGGTAAGGGCCCACCAGATTGCCGTTTTAGGACGCGCGACGCTCACCGGTATTATCACATTTGCTCCACAGCCATGAAGTCGACTTCCTACTGCATTGCGACGCTCCTCCTCGCTGCGTCGGCGACACACGGCCTGCGCCTCTCGGCCCAAGAAAAGGTCGACGTCGCCGCCAAGCTCGCGGCGTGGAAGGCCAGCCACGCCGGCAAGCAAGCAGAGGCCAACGGCTTTCTCCCGCCCAAGACCGAGCACGGCAACCTCGAGGACGGCGAGATCGACGACGAGCTCGAGCGCTTTGCAACAACGCAAAAGATCGTTGACGATCTCAACAAGCAGCACAGCGGCGCAGTCTTCTCGACCGACAACCAGTTTGCGCTCATGACCGAAGACGAGTTTGCGGCCTTTGTGAAAGGCGCGTTCAAGCACGAGGCGCCCAAGCGCCAGCTCCGCGCCGACAACGTTCAGATGTCGCTCTCGCAAGCACAGCGCGAGGCCACGGACGTCGACTGGACGACCAACAAGTGCATGTCGCCGGTGCGCAACCAAGGCACCTGCGGCTCGTGCTGGTCGTTTGCGGCCGTCGGCGCCGTCGAGGCTGCGCACTGCCTTGTGACGGGTGAGCTCGTCGACTTTTCCGAGCAGCAGCTCGTGAGCTGCGCGTCCAGCGCCGGCCATGGCTGCCAGGGCGGCTGGCCCGACAAGGCGCTCGACTACATTGCCCAGACCGGCCTTTGCACCGAATCGAGTTTTCCGTACTCGTCGGGCAGCTCCAACCAGAACGGTCAGTGCCAAAACTGCCAAAAGACCAAGGTCAGCGTCGGCAACTCGGTCGACATTCAAGGCGAGAGCGCGCTGCAGTCGGCGCTCGACAAGCAACCGGTGACGGTCGTCGTCGAGGCCGGCAACAACGTGTGGCGCAACTACAAGAGCGGCGTTGTCCAGAGCTGCCCCGGTGCGCAGTCGGACCACGCGGTCATCGCTGTGGGCTATGGCACGAAAGACGGCCAGCAGCACTTTAAGATCAAGAACTCGTGGGGTACCGGCTGGGGCGAGAAGGGCTACATGTACCTCAAGCGCGGTGGCGGCGGCAAGGGCATGTGCAACGTGGCCGAACGCCCGTCGTACCCGACAATGACCGGCAAGCCGCAGCCGACATCCAACCAACCGCAGCCGTCGTCCAACCAGCCGCAACCGACGTCCAAGCAACCGTTGCCCAAGCCGACAAAGAAGCCGACGAGCCAGCCCACCGAGAAGCCGACCGGCAAGTGCGACTGCAAGGGCTGCTACTACCCGCCTGTTGGCGGTTGTTTGAGCTCGTACTACGACCAGGACTACTGCGAGTACCTCTCGGGCTCGTACGGCTCGTACTGGTGTGCCTAAGTGATTGATGGATCTGCGTAAACTGTAAAAAGTTGATTTGTGTTTTTAGTGTGACTCAATCCTAGTGGGCCGAGAGACAGCCGCCGTATTGCAGACGATGAAGCTGGTAAATGAATGCACAAACGACAGGTATTATTGAAAGGAGAAACAACGAGACGCGCATCGCTGCTGCTTCTGTAGCCCGCACGCCAGATCGATCGTGTTTTGGCGCATGAGGCTCCACTCGACAGTACACTGCTCTCGAAATGACACTACGATCTTATTGCTGGCGTTTGCCTCCAATAAATCTTGCCCCTCGCGACCGCTGAACGCCTCGGATGGCGACGCAGCCTCGCCAGCCGTGCTCTCCGCAGCGTCCTCTACCAAGGGGTCAACGCTTGGCAATTTTCATTTCAAACGCAACGAGGTCGATATCACGACCTAGCGACGGCTTGGATCGCATTGGGCAAGGAAGAAAAAATCTCCAGAGCGGCTTTCATTGTACAGAACGTCTCCGAGATGCACCACCGTACAAGGCACCCGTCGTACGGTAGCTCCACCGATTGCACTAAACTTTGCGACAACCATAGACAAATATACTTGGAGAAAAGCACGACACAACTCGTTATTAACAAACGAAACACAATGGTAAGAGAGATCGACACGACTCTACTTCTTGTAGAGCTTGTACGGGTACAAGGTGGCAGCCGCGACGATGGCACAAAGATGATGGCGATGTACATGTACTGTACGTGTACGTCTGCGCTGTGCCTTCCGGTAGAACATTGCGATTGGGGTAACCGGACGAACCTGCTAGAGTGAATAGCCGGCTAGCATTAACCGGTTATTGTAGCCGACTAAAGATTCGAGCTGTCCCAGCGGTTCGTGTCGCTCTGCAGCGACTGACTGTGCGTGTTCCCTTGGAGTAGACAAATTGTACTTTATGATAATATGTACGTACAACGCGACCGGTGCTTGCTTATGGGGCCTCCTGCAGAGCTTTGCGTGCAACACGGCTGACTACAATACGATCGACCGTAGATGCGGCTTGAAAGTTTGGCAATATAAAAGACGCCCGAGAGTCTTTTCGGGGATGGAGCTACCTCCTTTGTGGCTCCAAATCTCCTGATGCAATCAGCCGCGCGTCCTTTTTCCCGCTCCTGCGTACCGACTCGACACTTGAAGACCGTAAATGTGGCCATCACTTGCGTCAAGGAGCGATACAACTCGTACAGAGGCGTCCTTGAAGAGGGCTCAACACACGACGATATTGGCCATTTCAAGAAGAGAAAGAGATACTTGGCGCAATAGGACGAGCAGGTCCAAACAATCGGAGACCAGACAACCAGTAAAACAAGACAGCAACCAACCCAGGGTGTAGAGCGCACGCCATTCCGCATTTGAGAGGCCGTAACGTCATAGCGAACCCACCTCGTCTACTACTGGGCAAGTAGGACATCCCTGCATTCGATGTCCCCGATCTGGTTGGCCGTCGACGAGGAAAGGAGCAATAGTAACGCCGTCGGTAGATGCTTGGCGTCCTGCGCAGAATGCCAAGGATGTGATGACCCTGCTTGCTTGTATGGAGCACGTCAGCTTTGAAGCCGGCAGCGTGCGGCTCTAGGTGTGGTTGTGTCGACCATCACGCTAGCGAATGTCATCTTGCAGCAACCTGGACACTTGCCAATGTTTTGGTGACGGACTCGGGTCGTTTCGCCGATCGACTAGGCTGTTTTTCGTGGGAGCGCAAACGAGTCGAGCTAGAGAATCATGAGAACGACGGTGGGTTGCGGTGAAGGGCTCGCCAGCTTGGGTCATTCCCATACTAGTAGAATCTGCTGCAAAATGAACCTACCCATCACAAGGAGGAAGGCAGACACCAACACGGCTCGTGCTCTCAAGTACGTGTGTCTTGGGCTCAAGAGCGTCGTTTTCTCACGAGATCGTACCTTCGTTTGTCTCGGACGACCGACTGCACGCGGCGAACTCAAAAACAACACTACATTGGCTCAATTGAGAATATACTCTAACGAATGGCGGTCGCGCGTCGTCGTTTGCAGCAGCTTTCGCTGGTAGTAGAGTTCTCGGCGCTTGGCGCGGATCTCGCTGCGCTGCTTTTCGTATTTGAGTTTAAGTTTGGCCAAGACGCGGTGTTTGTGGTGTTCATAATAAACTTTGGATCGCCGCCGACTCATTTCGCGCTGCGCAATGGACGGTGGACGCCGCTGGCGCTTCGTGCGCGGTGGTGACGGTGTACTGGCAGTCCACGATGGAGCATCCAAATCGCATTCCATCGAGGCGTTGGCCATGGACATGGAGCGCGAGTTGAGTGTTTTGTTACCACTGGACGTCACGACGAGGCGGGACGGCATCGCTGAAGATTTGGTGCAGTCGGTTGGATTTCAGACGCAATCGCCTTTGAAAAACGTGCGACCAAACCCGAGTTCACTGGCGCGAAACCTGTCGTCGTTGGTACGACGCTGCTGGCGGAGGCAGAGATGGGCGCGCACAAAAAGCCACGCCTCGTGGCGTCCAAGGAAACAACTCGTAGCCATAAGGTCGTAGCCAAGAAATTTTAGAAACCCGCTTTAAGATCGTGGTGTAATGTTCAAGAGTAGCACGCGATGGCATCATGCCCAAGCCACATCACTGGGCACGGCCACTGCGACGGCACCCATTGGCGTTTGGTTTCCCTTCTAGCTCGTCGCGTTTGTGGCGTGGGTTTGGAGGTTAGGAGGAGGTGGCCACGTGGTTTTTTCAACATATCAATCTTCGATCAAGGACCAACGTGCCACGAAGCCACGAAGGCCTGAAGAGCAGGCGCATGCGATCGAGTTATGGGAATGGGCGTTAGAAGGACACGTTCTTCTGTCATACGCTCGACATGGGTGGCGACGACGTACTTTTTATAATAGAATGTCGACTTGGCTACAGTATGGAAACATGGGCGTTAGAAGACTTCAAGGATTGGACCTGGGTTGAAAGTGGGCGTCGTAAGGTGAAGCGTGGGACTCGATGCCTGCGCTCGCACGTTATCGACTCGACAGCCGCACAGAAGGAGCCCACGCATAAACATATGTTGGCATCGTATTTTACGCCACCTGCGCCCACGGACTTGGGTGCGTCGAAGTCGATGCGCCCTCACGCCAATACGTGGGTAGTAGAGCAACTATCGATCGATTTCTCCATATGCAACGAGATCCATGTCGGTGATCCTTCCTTCTGCGCTCGGACAAATCAAGGGACGTGGCCAGCCCAAAGAAAGTACGACATTTTCTTTAGCGTCGATTTGTTGATTGGAATCGACGACCCACTTGAACAAGAACGTTGCCGTTCACTGGTGAATATGCGACACGTCCGCAACTCAGATCCGAAACCCGGCTCACGTCGCGCCACGTCGGTTCTAACTTCCAAAAGGGAGCTGCGAGGATGCGCGACAAGAAAAAGAAAGGGACGTCGTCGTCTTCTGCGCCATCGTGCAATCTGATTTCGCGATTGTATTCGTTGAGTGGTAGGAACGGTATCGTCTATAGCGTGAATAGAGGCGCGCAGGGAGGGTGTAGAAGAACACGTTGGTACAACGCGCCAACGAGGTCACGTCTATTGTCGTCGACTCAGATGGCCCGCGAGACGTTCTCGACGCCTTCTTCCTCACTTTGCAATTTCCTCGGTACCCGTTCAACATGAACAACCCCAAGGAATTCATCACGGCCGAGCGTGTCTCGTACGTGCACTCGATCGACAAGGCGGCCGGCGAAAACGCTGAAGAGTATGAGGCCAACAAGACGCCCGGTGACCTCGAAGACGGCGCGCTCCGTGCCGGTGGTGCCCCGGTGTACATGTCGGCCGAATGCCTCTCGATCCTCTTCCAGTATGCGATGATTGGTATCGTGTACGGTGGTGTCAACTCGATGCGGTACGCGATCGTCACGGGCTACTTCCAGCTCGAGACCAACGTTGGCAACTCGGCCCGAGCGCTCTTGAGTCTTGGCTGGTCGCTCAAGGTCGTCTTTGGCATGTTTAACGATTGCTTCCCGATCTTTGGCTACTCGCGCAAGCCGTACATGCTCCTCGGCTGGACGCTCTGCTCGATCGCGCTCCTCGTGATCGCCATCAAAGACCCTGGTGAGCAGGGCTCGCAAACCGACGGCCCGGTCTTCATCCTCCTCGCGGCGCTTGCTGGTTTTTGCTACGTCATGGCCGATGTCGCCCAGGACGCGCTCATGCTGGCGGTGGCCCAGCGCGAGCCCGACGCTGTCCGCGGTCGTCTGCAGTCGTACTCGTACGCGGCGCGCACGGTCTTTTACGGCCTCATTCAGTTTGTGTGCGGTTACTGCCTCAACTCGAAGCGTTTTGCCGGTACCTTTGACTGGGACATTGGTATCAACGGGTACTTTTGGATTCTGGCCATCCCGTCGTGCTTGAACGTCGTGGTGATTTTCTTCTTCGTCAAGGACGAGAAGCGCGCGCGCATTCCGCTTGGCACGTACTTTGGTCAGTTCTGGACGCTTGTCCAGAAGCGCGCGGTGTGGCAGGTCCTCCTCTTCAACTTCCTCTTTGGTCTCTTCCAGTCGATCACGTCGACGGCCGGTGACTACATTGCCTATTACTGGGCCGAAGTCGAAAACCTCAACCAGCAAATTGTCGGTGTCGTGAGCCAGTTCCTCTTTGCCGCTGTCCTTACGCTCACGGGTACCTACGGCACGCACTGGAACTGGCGCTTCGTGCTCGTCATCACGATCCTCGTTACGTATGCGATCGACTCGGTCTGCCAGTTCTGCACAATCTACGACGTGGTGCGCAACCAGTGGTTCTACCTCGGTGTGCCGCTCATCGAGACGGTCCCGTCCGGTATCAACTTTGTCGTTGGAACGTACGTCATTGTCGAGCTCGCCGAGGTCGGTAACGAAGGCGTCATGTACGGTCTCTTGACTACGGTGTCGAACCTCCCGGGCACCTTTGGCACGATTCTCACCAACATGATTAACGGTCAGCTCAACTACGGCAAGGACCTCATCCATGACGATGCGCCCGAGACGCGTAACCAAGTCGCCTACTCGTACATCATCTCGTACTCGTTTGTCGTCGTCGGCTGCCTCTGGGTGTTCCTCCTCCCGCCGCAGCGTGCGGCCGTCGCCGAGCTCAAGAAGAACGGCGGCAGCTACCCCAAGGTGGCCGCGCTCATCTTTGTCGGTCTCTTCATGGTCCTCGTCACGTCCATCACGGGCAGCATGATGTCTATGTTCGAAACCACCAACTGCTTTATCCTCGCTGGCGGTGACGACGATTGCCCAGAAGGCACACCGCAGACGTACCTCGCCATCATCTTCGTGCCCGGTGCCATTGCGGCGCTTGGTGCCGCTTACAAGCTCTTTCTCGCCAAGTAAATGAGGACCCCGCTAACAACTTTGTAATCGAATGTGTCGTGTTTCAACAAGAGTTGCATACAAGAGACATGCCATTTGTCTTGACGTTTGTAGCAACGTGACAAAGTTTTCAATGTGGAAACCACGTTTACGGACTAAAAAACAAAACTTTTGCTCACACCGGTTGGTCCATTAAGGTTTTGAGGTCGCACCAGGTCCTATAGACGGACCTTTTTTGATTGGCTGAACTTGAGATGTTCTCGTCGGCCGCTGACCAGTTTGCTTTGGCGCGCGCTTGAGGACACGTCGTTGTATCTCTACTCCAAGGAAGAAAAACGCCAATACTATTCTGATTAGACCGTAAACTGTTTTCTCTTAAGAGACAGTACCGTATACTGTATATCAAACACGGCAGAAATTAAATATGATTTATGTATATCGTTTGTAAAATGCTGTCTGCATTTACAGTCCATGACGGCATCGAGGGAACCAGGACGTACTCGCAAATTTTATAATAAAGTGTCGGAGGATAATATAAAGCGACCACACGGACCGACCACGACCTCAGGCATTGGCATATTTTATCATGTATTAAAGGTATACAAAACTGAGGGGTACCGGTCACACTAACGACATGCAGTTACCGAGTTGACGCCATGTACCGGTAGTTACCGTCACTCTAACGACATGCATTTCTAATCGAGATCACCCTCATCACCGAGAGTTGAACTGTCGCCGTCGTCGTTGCTCGAGGCAGAGTCGTCGGGGCCATTTGTAGTGGCGGCCTCTTCAGACTCGCGTAGAGCCTTGTCTAGTGCGAACAGCTTCGCCGTCGACGCTTCGATCGTGTCGTGAATGGTCTTGCAGTCCAAATCTCTGAAGGTACGTCGTCTCGCCGCGGCGCTTTCCCCGCAAGTAGCCCTCCTTTGCCAAGAGCTTTTGAACTACACGGAGACGATTGGTGTAGTCTTTCGTGTTATTGCTGTTGCCAGTAATGTAGCCCTTGTCTTCGAGGAGCGCGAGAACGTCCTTGGCCACCGTCCGTGTGCGGGTGACACACCGGTCGCGAATAAAGGTCCTGACGAGGGCGCGCACAGCAGGCGTTCTTGGCACACGGGATGCATGGTGCGTCTTGTTCGACGGAGGTTCTGCGACGGTGAGATCGCCGATGGCCAAAAACTCGGAGAGGACTTCCTTGACAGTTCTTGTGCTTCTGCCGAGCTGGCGCGCAATGACACCGGCGGTATCCTGCGTCTGGGACTCGCGTAGGACCGCGTGCATATAGAGGATATCGAGCTTCTCCTCAAGCGAAATGCGGCGCTGTCGGCGCTTCTTGACGAAGGCCTTCAGCCGGTCGATAGTTGCGGCGTCCATGACGATTGGAAAATGACAGGGGACGATAAATGATCACAGGTTCCTCTCGAATTAAAAATATGTATCTATCCGGATCCGGATGCGGTGGGTCGTATCGAGTGTCGAAGGCTATCGATTTTGAATCTAGAAATGTTCGTCAATTTACCATCATTCTAGCAGTTTTGATATCACAAAACGCAGGATAGTGGTTTTCAAGGGTTTCCTGGGTTTCCCTGCAAACAACCGGATCGTGACGAAGCGGCCAAAATGGGGGGGCGCCCCAGGTCAGTTGGTAAAGTTTCTGCTTCGCATCCCGAAGGTCGCCGGTTCGAGCCCGGCTGCGCGCGCGCATTTTTCCGTTCTCCGCCCCCCTCCTCTCTGCGTCGCGCGATGTATCCGAACAGGGCCGAAACCAGATGGGTCGTCAAGGCCACCTCCGCAAGTGTCACCCAGAACCCATGATGACGAAAGCTGCTACTCCAACAACAGACCTAGATGAGACAATTTCTTCCAGCGAGCTCTGCTCATTAAATTAAATTGACCCATTTCAACAACAACGAAGCGGCCAAAAGAAAAAGCACGGAAATCGGCCAAGTGCGTGAAAAAATATGATGATGGTTCCCTCGATGCCGTCATGGACTGTTATGTAACTAATAAAGAAACGTTTCGTGGGCGCCACCGATGTCCTCCACGGAGCAGCAATGCGAAGCAACTCTTAATACGCGCGGCGAATCGAGACGTTGCGAGAACGCAGGAATCACTGTGAGGATGTACCGTCCTCGCAGCATCTTCGCGTGCCTCAACTGCTCAACCCGCATGAAGAAGGAGGATGCAAGTCAAGCCGCGCGTGCTGTCACCACGCCCCCAGTAGACGATCCGGGTTCACGAGCTGGTGCGGCGACCCTACCCGGGGCCAACCTTGGGGGCATACGCGTCACTCGTCGTTCCCGTGGTATCGCAGCGGGTCTTGGCGACGGCGGTGTCGCTGCACGTGAAGAGCCAAATGTCCGTGCTGAGCTGCGCGAGCTACGAGAGTCCCTCGATCAGTGCATACGGGAGCGAGACCGGTGCAGAACCGAGCGAGACGACGACCGAGCCAAGGCCACAGTATGTCTATTCGCTGCTGTCAACGACGCGACTGCTGCCCACCTTGCAATGGCGTGTGCGTTAGCGGACGCATCCCGAAAGGATGCTGAGTCCGCACATGCACTCAAGGTCAAAGAAGACGTCATTCTTGACCTACGCCGCAAGCTTGTCAACGAGCATGACGCTAGTGCCTCGCTCGAGGCCAATCTGGCCCAAGCCCACAGACGCTATGAAGAGCTAGAGAAACGCTTCGAAGATCTCGTCAAAGCTCTCTCATGCGCTGCTCTCCCGACAGCTTCTCTCCCGACCGAGGAGTCGCCAGCGTCAAAGGAGGGCACGCTTCCAACATGCCTTCTCGAGGCAAGACCAGCGAAGCGAGGAAGAGCCACGGCAGAGTCCAAGCCGGAGAATCTCGTCCGCGATGACCCGCAGGCGCGCGCCAGCCCTCCTGTGCGACATTATTTCAAGGATATGACGAGCACCAAGCGACCCAAGAGCGTGGGCGAAGATCAAACATCGTAGTATGTATGGACATCGTCCTTGATGTATTAAAACGCGCGGTTTGCCACCGTGTCTGCAGCGTCAACTGCACGCAGGTTGTTTCATCGAGTGGGCAAAAATCAGGAATGACGCGGCCAAAATTGCACGCGGTCTGGGATTCGAACTCGCATCTTTACCGCTCGGTATATCCGACGTAGTAGTACCTCACAGCGACATAGCCAACAGTCCGCAGCTCGCTTCGCCTCCAACAAGCCGACGACCTCGACGCCATTGCGACCCGAGCTGCTCTTCCGCCAAGCGCCATACGATGTGCTTCGCGCCAAGCACCCTCGGTGCTTGCATCTCGACACAACATGTCCATTAGCCATGTCCATTAGCCATCTTGCCGAGTTCGTAACCAGCACTCACCCCTACCGTCGTCCTGCCTCTATCTTCTGGCATCATGGACTGGATTGAGCTTCGGTAAGATTATTCGTGTTTGCGATATATTTGGCTAATGCAGCATCCTTTGACATCTTACGGACGACAAAGCTATAGATCCGCAGTTCTTTTACGCGAGTGCGTTGACAATCAATCTACTTTTGGAGGCGTACAAGCCTCCAAAATCGTATATCTAGTTATAGAGGCACGATGTCTCCGTTCACAAATGTCATATTGCGTAAAAGTTGGGTGGGAAAATATATCCGTACAAGTTGACCTTATCCGTAAAAGACCTCGGCCAAAAGACCAACCGGTTACAAAGGTGCCTCCCGCCGACTCTCGCTGGCTTCCTCTTGGACGCCGCCCCCACTCGGCTCTCAAGTCGTCCATTGCTGCCCTCTGCATGATTTTGCGCGCTTGCGTTTGGCACTATCTCTAGCTCGAACACAACGACCGAGCCTCCCGCTCAACGCTGTCGAACTTTCCCGCCACCTTGCTCGCGACTAAGGCAACTATGAGAACACGCTTGCACGTCCGGCACTTGCCTCGTCGCGCCGCGGTGCCATCGCTTGCCGAGTCGCTTGACGCTCTCCGTGCTGACCCTTAATGTAACCTCGTTCCTCGCAACAAGATCACTCAGGCTACAGTACTTGCTTGACGCACCGACTTGCCTCACGAGCCCATAACAAGGCCGCTATCTTAATACAGTTGCGTGTTGATACTAGTTTATTTCAAAAGTCATTGCAACAACAACATCAACAACAAAAACAGAAGAGCTCCACAGAAGATCTGGATTCACATGTCAATTTGAAATTCCCTTTACTAGTATTGTTGATCCCGAGAAGACGTACAACGGAAATTCGAGTGTACGCGGCTCGGGCAGAGAAGTCGTTCCCGTCCAGCGGTTCCAGTCGCTCAGGGCTAGTGTGATTCACCGCGCGACCTGGTGATGCACATTGGGCAAGAAATAAAAGGCCTCCAGAGCGGCTTTCATTGTACAGAACGTCTCCGAGATGCACCACCGTACAAGGCACCCGTCGTACGGTAGCGCCACCGATTGCGCTACACAATTTTGCGACAACCATCGACATGAAATAGACTAGAAGAAAAAGACACGACACAACTCGTTATGAACAAACGAAACACAATGGTACGAGAGAGATCGACACGACTCTACTTCTTGTAGAGCTTGTACAAGGTGGCCGCCGCGACGATGGCACCGGGCACAAAGATGATGGCGAGGTACGTCTGCGGCGTGCCTTCCGCGCACGGCACGCGGCCACCGGCAATGCGGAAGCAGCTCGTGGACTTGAACATGGACATCAAGCTGCCCGTGATGGACGTGAGGAGCACCATGAAGAGGCCAAAGAAGATGAGCGCGGCCACCTTGGGCTGGCTGCCGCCGTTCTTCTTGAGCTCGGCGACGGCCGCGCGCTGCGGCGGGAGGAGGAACACCCAGCAGCAGCCGAGCACCGCGCACGAGTAGGCAATGATGTACGAGTACGCGACTTGGGTACGCGTCTCCGGAGCGTCCGCCTCGAGGAGTTCCACGTTGTAGTTGAGCTGGCTGTCGATGATGTTGGTGAGGAGCGTGCCAAAGGTGCCCGGGAGGTTGGCCACCGTGGTCAAGAGACCGTACATGACACCTTCGTTGCCGACCTCGGCGAGCTCGACAATGACGTACGTGCCAACGACAAAGTTGATACCGACCGGGACCATCTCGATGAGCGGCACGCCGAGGTAGAACCACTGGTTGCGCACCACGGCGTAGATCGTGCAGAACTGGCAGACCGAGTCGATCGCGTACGTGACGAGGATCGTGATGACGAGCACGAAGCGCCAGTTCCAGTGCGTGCCGTAGGTACCCGTGAGCGTAAGGACACCGGCAAAGAGGAGCTGGCTCACGACACCGATGATCTGCGCGTTGACGTTCTCGACGCCTGCCCAGAAAAGCCCGACGTAGTCGCCGGCCGTCGAGCCGATCGACGTGAAGAGACCAAAGAGGAAGTTGAAGAGGAGCACCTGCCACACGGCGCGCTTCTGGACAAGCGTCCAGAACTGGTCAAAGTAGATGCCAAGCGGAATGCGCGTGCGCTTCTCGTCCTTGACATAGAACCAGCACACGAGCACGTTCAAGCACGACGGAACCGCCATGATCCAAAAGTACCCGTTGATGCCAATGTCAAAGTCAAACTCGCCGGCAAAGCGCTTCGAGCTGAGGCCGAAACCAGAGACGGCCTGCATAGCAGCCGAAAACACCGTGCGCGTCGCGTACGAGTACGACTGCAGACGACCGCGGACAGCGTCGGGCTCGCGCTGGGCCACCGCCAGCATGAGCGCGTCCTGGGCGACGTCGGCCATGACGTAGCAAAAGCCGGCAATCGACGCGAGGAGGATGAAGACCGAGCCGTCCGTCTGCGAGCCTTCCTCGCCGTGGTCCTTGATGGCGATCACGAGGAGCGCGATCGAGCAGAGGAACCAGCCGAGCACCATGTACGGCTTGCGCGAGTAGCCAAAGATCGGGAAGCAGTCGTTCATCATACCAAAGAGCACCTTGAGCGACCAGCCGAGGTTCAAGAGCGCCTTGGCCGAGTTGGCCACGTTCGTCTCGAGCTGAAAGTAGCCGTTGACGACGGCGTAGCGCATGGCGCTGACACCACCGTACACGATACCGATCATCGCATACTGGAAAAGAATGGAGAGACACTCGGCCGACGTGTACACCGGGACACCACCGGCGCGGAGCGCGCCGTCTTCGAGGTCACCGGGCGTCTTGGTGGCTTCGTAGTCGTCGCCGGCAGCCGCCGCCTTGTCGATCGAGTGCACGTACGAGAGGCGATCGGGGGCCGTCACAAACTCCTTGGTGTTGTTCATGTTGCCGCTCAACCAGGAAATTGAAAAGTGAGCTCTGGGGAAAAGTGTATCGGTCGACGAAAACTCGGATCTGATTTCGGGTGCTCGTGGACGGGCCACCGCGCCAGATGGTTGCCGCCACCTCGCGTTATAAAACGAATGTTGTTGAAGTGGAAATGGACTTTTGTCACCTTCCAACGCCTTTCGTCGTGTCGTCCTGTCTAACCGGCCGAATCAGGCACGGGCGTGTACCCAGATGCCATTCACTGTCAATACCACATGCTGCAGTCCACGCGGCTCGTAGAGTTGCATGGAATGGTAAACGACCAAGCTCTTGACGAACGGCACAATTCTGTCGTGCAGGCTCAAAACTGATAGATCGGGCGATCTTGGTGCTCTGCGGCTTTGTGGCGTTTGGTTCATACGAAGGAGCTCCCAATTGCTCAATGGACGTGGGTGGGTATCTCTATCGTTTGTCGAGCCACCGGCTTGCTCCTCAGTTGCTTCGCATTGATCTGATAACGCTAGAAGTGTACAAGAAGGTGAACAAGCCACTCTTGTTGAGCATTTTGTACGCTTGCCATATGCCACCACGTGATCGATGAACGTTGATGTTGGAGGTTCGAAAGGGTACAATGCACATCACTGGCCCAGTTTTGCAGGCTAAAGTCTTGCCCACTGATGTGCTCTAGAGATGAGCCCACGCGGTCTGGAGGTGACGAGCTTGATACGCCAAAAGGAGTCGTTCTCAACACTTGAGAGTTATCTTCACGCCGCCAAATTGGTCGGGACGCAAGGTGTCTGACCAGATTGAACGAGCTTGGATAGAAACGGGATTTTTCGTGGACAGGCACTTGCACATCTATGTATTGTGGTCTGGATAGAACGTGCTGATTTACCATTTGACGCCACGTTACCTTCATCGGCCGTCAAGGTTTGATCACCAGTAACGAACGTGACACACGCTATGCCGACCAAAAATGGGTGAGTCTCACAACAGCTGTACACGTTAAAGAACGATGCGTCGCCTGCTGCTGAAGCTTGTCGTTTACTGTTTGTAGTAGAACCGAGGAAGTACTACCGGGTGACCGAGATAATCTTCCTGTATTTTAAAGTAGAAAATGATATTCCATCGACCTCTCCACTGTCCCAACCTTTCACGCTTGCGTGACAGGTGACGTCGACGGAGCTTGGGGCATGGACAGCGATGGGAAGGAAAGGCTCGGAACCCAGGTGCACCCACAAAGATCCATCATCTGTAAATTCGTTGAAGTGGATCGCTTTACGTGAGCAAATTCTGCGGTTTCACAACACATGGTGTCACCGTCGGTGCAGTAGGACACGACGGTCGTTCACTCGAGCATTTTCTGCAGTCGATGCAAACTCCAACCAAGAGAAAACGCCGCACGCCGTCCGTGGTCCAGCGAGAGCAGAACCGCGAGCGTGCGCGCGTCTACTATGAGAACCACCGACAGAAGGTGCTCGCCAAGCTCAAGCTCAAGTACGAGCAGAAGCGCATCGTCATCCAGGCCAAGCGACGCGAACGCTACTTCCAGCGCAAAATGAGCCTTGCTTCGGGCTGCAGAGCACCCGCGCCAGAGCCCCATCGGCTATCGCTTCGATTTATTCTCAATTAATAACACTTCATTATTCCAAAAAACACCACGTTATGCATCCTCTCTCGAGCCACAAGCATAAAAGAGTATCAAAGAAGCGTTCATCGCCAAGACCAAGGGATTCTTATATCCCTTACCTCTTGATGGTTCTGGCGCGGCGTGGTGCAGAGCCTGACTACCGTCCAGGGTCGATATTGTTTTCGCTCCTGGAACAAGGAGCTCGAAGTGTTGGGGTAGACAAGAGTTTCTTGGCGCCGGAGTGGCGTGGCGGGATCGCTTACTGACAAGAGAATAACATCGGGACGCTACGGGGGTCGTCGCGCCCCCTTGTTATTCTCTTCTCTTCTTCAATTGCTCTTCGTGCACTTGGTTTTCTGCGCCAAAAACTTCTTCCACGTCTTCAGACCGCACCGAGTCCGTAAGCCAGGGCCAGTGACGTAGCAGCGGTAGCAAGGCCCGCGCGCGCTTTATCTCTTTTGACATGTTCCGTCGTTCGCTCGGCCTTTTACGTCTTTCACTGATTGGAATTGGTTTTCCCAATTCGGCAGTTGATAAAGTCGTGTTAAAACTTGTAGGGTACGAGTACTATGTCTGAAGACACTTGCTTCGTTTTAACATTTTTTAACGTTAGCACAAGTGTGCGCGTAGCCGTCGGCGGAGCTTGTGGACGCCAGACGTCGATGTGGTCACCGATACAATTTGCATGGTACAGGACGTTCAATAGTACTATAAGCGTTGCAAGTTAGAAAATCGGTGTAGCCAAGGCCATAAATACCGGTATGGCCTCGGTGTAGCGTAGAGATGATGGTCCTGCCTCTTGACGGTCGCCGCCCTGCCGCCACTACCCACCATATAGGCGTACGTTTTGTTTTTCGTCAAGAGAGCACCTCCAGAGGCTCGTCAGGCGACACGAAGAAGACACACTGTCGTTCCTTTTTGGATCGGGTAGTTTTGTCCAGCCCTCTTCATTACATGGCTGTTGTTCCCACCTGAGGCTCGGGTTTTTACCTCACTCGGAGGGTTTCCCAGACCTCTCTCGTAGTTTGTATACCCCATAATGTCCTGAATACATTCCGGGCCATTGGCTGTGGCGACATCACGGTCGCTCACTTCCGTTTCGGTTTCCTTTCTGGCTTGCTTCCCGCTCGCCCCCTCTTCTTTCTCTTCCTCATCTTTGCTTCGTCCCTCTGCTTTGTGCCTCGCTGTCCAAGTGCCAGCTTGACAGTTTTGCGATGGGTTTCGCCAGCTACCGGTACCGTCAATCAGTACCACATGTTCTGCCATTGCGCTTCCCAATGCAATAGAAAGGCCGCATTCTCGTTCAGCATGAAGGACAATCCAAAGATGTACTATGGCAATGAAGGGCCCTGGCTAGACAGGGAGAGCGTACGGTAAATAATCTTGTGCTGTTTCTACTACATAGCAATCTAATACCAGCTGCACACGGTAGCCAGTCGCTTTGGCGAGACAACGACAAGAACCAAGCACTTTATCGGAGGCCTACCGGGGTAGACGAGCGAACCAGAGCGGTTGGTTGTAGAGTGGTATAGGGCACTGTGACTTCAACGTTATCACGCGGGTGACACGTAACCACGAGGCTGCAATTTTCGGCACGCAACAGACGGTGACCTGATCCTTGAGGTGCGTCAGAAGGCAAGAAGAGACACCAACCACACATGCAGCTGACAACGGAACCGTTAGCGTGCGGGTACAAACTTGTTGTATTCGTGTACAAATACAAACACGGGGGATTGGATTGCTGTCCGTTCTTGGTCGAAAGAGACCCGTACTAGGTCATTCCTGAAAATAGGTAAACAACATACATGTAGCGAAACCAAACACATTTCTTGAACTCCCTGGGCCCCTTAGACGTTGCCATTCTGATTGCCGAGGATACACTGCATCTGGGTGCCTGCCCGTGCCTGATTCGGCCGGTTAGACGGGACGACACGACGAAAGGCGTTGGAAGGTGACAAAAGTCCATTTCCACTTCAACAACATTCGTTTTATAACGCGAGGTGGCGGCAACCATCTGGCGCGGTGGCCCGTCCACGAGCACCCGAAATCAGATCCGAGTTTTTCGTCGACCGATACACTTTTCCCCAGAGCTCACTTTTCAATTTCCTGGTTGAGCGGCAACATGAACAACACCAAGGAGTTTGTGACGGCCCCCGATCGCCTCTCGTACGTGCACTCGATCGACAAGGCGGCGGCTGCCGGCGACGACTACGAAGCCACCAAGACGCCCGGTGACCTCGAAGACGGCGCGCTCCGCGCCGGTGGTGTCC